TGACTTCTGAGAAGACATCTATTAAAGGATACCTGAGTGTAGCTGGAGATTTCTCCAGTCCTGCTGGGGCCCACAACCGCTCAGACCCAAGTAAACACATAGAGACTTATATTACTAAGAGAACTCACAGCTACACAGTTCCCTCCATGCTGGTTAGTTTTTGTTAACTTGATACAAACTAGAGTCACCTGGGAAAACGGAACCTCAATTGAGAAACTGCCTCCATCAAATTGCCTGTAGGCATGCCTGTGGGGCATTTTTTGATTAATGACTGATATGGGAGGGCCCAGCCCACTGTAGGTGGTACCACTCTTAAGTTAGTGGTCCAGTGTTATACAAGAAAGCAGGTTGAGGAAGCCATGGGGAGTAAATTATTAAGCAATGTTCCTTTAGTTCTCTGCCTCCAGGTTCCTGCCATGAGTTCCTGCTTTGGCTTCCCTCAATAATGAACTATAACCTGTAAACCACATAAACCCTTTACTTCCCCAAGTTGCTTCTGGCCAGTGTTTTATGAAACCAACAGAAAAGGAAACTAGGACACACACACACAGAAGCAGAATTGACAACATGTGTTCATTTGGTTCTTTCATTTTATTAAGGTTCAGAATCATTCAAGATGGTTCTAAGTGCTTTTGTAAAATCCACAATCCCTCTTGCATTATATGTTTTGGATTTTAAATGTGGGTTTTAAGTAAACAGTGATACCCCAATGATTATGAAGACAAAAAAAGGAACATGATGATTCTGTTATTCTATATGATCAACTGGGGAATTTGTTGTGTTTTTAAACCTTAAAAAACAAGACAAAGCCAGGTACAAGGTGGCTACTCATCTTAGTTCACACATGTGATAACTCTGAATTCATATTTCTTTAAAATAGAAGTGCATTGTTCATTTCCATTAATTGTTTGAAAATTAAAGAACATGTTATGAAAATGAAGAACAGTGCTGATCATTTCATGATTATTACTGAACATAATTTTGTCATACAGAAGAGAATATTAAAAGTTGATTTAGCTGAGCAGTGGTGGTGTACACCTTTAATCCTAGCACTCAGGAGGCAGACCCAGGCAGATCTCTGTGAGTTGGAGGCAAGCCTGGTCTACAGAGTGGTTCTAGGACAGCCAGGCCTACATAGTGAACCTCTGTCTCAAAAAAATTGATCCATTCTACATACCATATATGCTAAGTATACCAAATTTCTAAAACATTAATATTATACTTAATTTTCTTGGAATGTCAGAAATGAAGGTTAATTGACTGAAATGCTATCTAAAAACCAAATCTCTATTACCTACACTAGTGGCTAGGAGTCCAACCCAGATCATTCAAATCATTGATTTTTATATGAAATACCCTTGTATGTATATAGCTATTGTTTCTATCCCGAGTCTCAGCCATATGAGTGACTTAATAGGTAACAAAAAATAAAAAGACAAACCATTTACAAGTAATACCACATACAGTCCTTTCATTATACACATCATCTCTACCATTATCACCATGAGCCAAGCCACCATCACCTCTAACCTGGACTATTGTAAGAGCCTCTTCACAATTCTTGTCCTTACCACTACCATCTATTTTCCTGGTAAAATATAAGTCAGATCATGCCCCTCATCAACTCAAAAGCTTCCAATGTCTCCTCATCTCAGTCATACAAATTTCTCCATATCATTTATTGATCTATTTTTATTGATCTGTTTTTTATTTTTCTCTCTGATTTCATCCAACATTTTCTCCACTTACTAATTCCTTGCCCACTGCATTTTATTTCTTAAACAAGCCAGTTAGATTTTCTTCTGGTTGGTTCCTACATCTAGCGTCTTCTTCTAAATACACAGATGGACCTTAAATTCTTTCATATTTCTGATTAACTCTCCCTTAACCAGAAAGGTTTTAACCGATCTAATGTATCATCCCATTCTCATCTCTGTTCTATTTTCCTTCATGCTTAACACATCTTGGCATATTATATATTATTTTGTGTGACTGGTTTGTTACCCCTACCAACCTACTATCCCTCTCTTTTCCCTCTGTACCACATCTATGCAAATTCATAGTAGATAGCCTAATATTTTTTAAGTAAACCAATGTCTACAATAACACCTAGAAAATAAAGGTACTGCTATTCATGGATGAGAATAGTAAGAAAAGTATAAAAGTCAGGTCCTTAATCTTAGACTTGTGACTCTACGGAGACGATTATTTCCATTCTAGACATAATTCTTATTTCAGTGACAATTATCATTTCAAGAGGAAACTATTAATCATTGTACTGAACAATTTATTATCCAACATGAATTCACAGTTAAACATCCTACATCCACTAAGATAGTAATTTCCGTAAACTCTTAAACAATATTTTATATGAGTTACATGGCAACTCGTGAATTAATTTGCAACTGTCAAATGAGCTAAAAAAAATTCAATGTGTAGTGTAAATGAAAGAGTCATATTACAAAATGGTGGCTACACCTAACTCCCTATTTTCCCTCATAATCATTACTAGTTAACTTTTTTATTTATAAATGTTTCCATACAATATATTTTGATCATATTCTTCCCCTCCCCCAACTCCCTACCCACCCAACTTCATGTTTTCTCCCCCTCCTCAGCAAAAAACACAAAAAAATGAAAATAAAAACAAACAGAAAAATAAAACCTGCACGGGTTCAAACCAAACAAAATCCCAGCCCCGAGAAGGAAGTTTGGACACCGAATCCTACCCCTAACCATGAAGCTATTTGGAGTTGACACCTGCTAGAAAAGGGAAAATCCATTTTTTTTCAGTAGAGCATCACAGGGTATATCAACACCACTCTAGGGCAAGTCCCATGCCCAGGAATAGTTGGTTTACTAGTTAACTTTTATCCAATATTTACTGGAAGGAATGTTGGTGGACATTAATAACCTCATTTAAGGGAGAAAAATCTGAGACCCAAGGTATTCCCAACAGTGAACACCATGGTAAAGACTAAAGATTTTCTGCCTCCCTGGCTAAAATAATAGTATATTACCCTCCTGGATTCTATCAAGTGGCTAGGTAAGTGCTTGTTGTTGTTGTTGTTCTGTTTTGTTCTGTTTTTCGAGACAGGGTTTATCTGTATCGCAGCCTGGCTGCCATGGAACTTGCTTTGTAGACCAGGCTGGCCTTGAACTCACAGAGATCCACCTGCCTCTGCCTCCTGAGTGCTGGGATTAAAAGCCTGCGCCACCATGACCAGCTGGTTTTTATCATAGAATAGTCACTGCTTTGGTCTCCTAAAATTTTATTATGAGGTTTTTTTTCCTCACCAATCAACCTTTAATCACATAGTGTTTTGCAAGATATGTCATTGGCTTCTTTTAAAATTGGGAAAAGTTCAAATTCTCCATTAATTTAATCTGTTTTCAGCACACAGTTCTGAGCCCTGACATGTCAACATATTTGCAAGGGGGGGGGGACACTCGCCCAGACCCAGCTGCCACAAATTTGCATGGAACTTGCAAGGAATTTTTCAGGCAAATGTTATAGCATTTGTTCCTACTGAAAGTCTTTTCCTCATTCATTCTTTTCTACCTTGCTTAGCACCATCTGAAACAGTAATTTATGGAATACTAAGGAAGGACAGTGAAGGAGAGTCAGGAGACTCAAATTTACCTCCAAAGAGTTTGTGGCCTTGAGCAAATCTGTCCCATTCTCTGTGTCCTCTGGTGTGCTGGCTGGACTGCAAGCACTCTAATATCTCTCCCCGCTCTCACTTTTACTGGTTCTACAAACATTTGATTTAGCCTTGTGGGTCCCCAGGGAAGGAGAGAGTTCTGGGGAAAGGAGCTAGGGAAGCCCTTGCATTTAATGGTATGAACTAGCTGCCTTTAAGAACTACTGAAACAGAGACCTGAGAAAATCCCGAGGAAGGGAAAAGGGGAGTTCCTTTGCCTGCATTCCTAGCCCACACCAGATTCTCTCCTTCCTTTTAGCATGGAAATATAAAAAAGGAGTTAAATATCAATGTTTTGCCCAATTGCTTCAGACTCCCTTGCTTTTGCTGCAGATTGTGGGTGGCAGTGCAGAAGTATGTGCTGACACTGGCATCAGCGCCTGCTGACCCAACCCAGCTGCCCTCCAATACCCCTTGTCAGTACTAAATACAAAGTCATTGTGGCCTTCCACTCCCCAGTGCCCCTAACCAGACTTGGACCGGTCCCTGGCTGATTCAGAGATGCATCAGGATTCAAGCACCACTTCCTCTCTGCAAAGGGAAGTCATTTCAAGGTCTCCAGGTATAAAAGGGATCACCATGGCATAAAATGAACTGAAGATGATACTAAACACATACCTACACATACAAACAAAAGCACAGTCCTTGAATTTGTGGGGGTCTGCTAGTTGAATTCCCATTTAGAAGATGAGGGTTTCTGTAGTCATCTCTCCTTGACAAAGCCCTAAATGTGGATTGGGTGAGACCATCCCAGGCAAGGAAGCTTTGCAGGTCTTTCCCAGATAGCTTCCATCTGGGTGGCCCTGGGCTCTAGAGCTAGCTAGGGGTGACAGGTACATACAGCCTAGTTAAGGAGGTCATGCAGCTCTCCTATAAGGCTCTCTACAGTTCTTGGCTTTGTGGCTGCTCCCCTCGACCCCTTGCCAGCCTGCTTGCATCCTGGGAGCTTTACTGCTTACAGAGAGCCCCTGTGTCAGACCCTTGCTTCTCTGGCATCCCAGGTAACACCTGAGATGCTCCTGGTCACTTCAACTTCCCCCAGCTTGAGCCTACCCCAGTCTCGGAGGGCAGCAGAAATGCCTACGGGTGGGGGGGTAGGAGGGGTCTTTACTGGTCTGGCAGGCAAGCAGAGACTCCTAAAATGGCTACAGGAAGCTCACTGGTGTCTGAAGGACAGTGGCGAGGGCGGTGGGCAGAGGTATGGGGGCTCCTGGTGTGGAGGTTAATTCGAGGGATTGGCGGTTGAATTGGAGGATTAGGGCTCATGCAGGGAAAACTAGAGCTACGTGCACTCACCATTCCCGTTCCGCCTCTAATCCACTGCATGGTGTCCGCGAAGTCCAGCTTCTGTGAGGCCGGGTGGCTGGCGCGGGTTGTCGCGGGCTGACTGGGAGGTAGGGCTGGGCTGGAGGAAGCGAGAGCCCCAGCGCCCCCTCCGCCTCCCCTCCTCCACGGCTCTACAGCCGAATCCCCTCAGCCTGACCTAGCCTTCAGTTAGGTTGTTTCGTGCCGGCGTGCAGGCTGTGCTTCTCCACCCTGCAGCTTCCCAGGGGGCTTGACAGGAAGGAAACACGCAACTGGGGGAGGGGGTCCCAGTGAGCCGCCTTTGTCTTCCTCCAAGGCTTGCAAACTGAGGGGTTGGGTGCAGGCGAGACTCTACCAGGGAATAACCTCCGCCAAGGGTAAGGCAGCTGCCACCCCTGCCTGCCCTCCTGCTGCTCTCGATTTATATGCAGTTTATTGTGGGGCTCCCCAATTATGTTGACTCAGCGGAAAGTCTTCTCCAAAGTTGCAAAAGGTGTTGGGACAGTCTCTAAATATTAAGATGCTGGCCCACTGAAACTATGCCAGTGGATTCTCATGCCTGTTTCCCCAAGCCCTCCCTCTGTGTATTTTCCTGGTGCCCTCTCTAGTGTCTAATCTCTTGCGCTTTTATCTGCATTACTTTCACTTTTCAGAATAACCGTGGAAAAGCAAGCATTATTATCTCCATTGTACAGAAAAATAAAAGGAGGTTTGAAATAGGTAAGGGACATTATCATATAAAAAAATATGGTCACATAAAAGATAAAGCTCTGACTTTACCCCCTGCAGCAGCTTCCTAAACTTCTTTCAGCTCACTGTGTTCTCTCTCTCTCTCCTCTCCTCTTCTCTCTCTCTCTCTCTCTCTCTCTCTCTCTCTCTCTCTCTCTCTCTCTCTCTCTCTCTCTCTCTCTCTCTCTCACACACACACACACACACACACCATTCCAGTTGTCTCCCTTGTACCTTCAGGAATATGGAAGGTAGTCTAAATGATGGATGTATTTTCCATTTGCTTATTTGGCTGAGAATGATTTTTTAAAAAAAAAAAAAACGTTTATCAACAGAAACTGCCCGTCTTTTCATGATGCCAGCTCTGGGCAATGAAACCCAGGTCTGCCCTTTTACATCTGCTGAGAGTTGAGACTGTCAGCTCCAATCACACCCATTACTATTCTGTATAATCTTCCCAGTAACTCTGTGAGGCAAACAAAATGGACTTTTAATTACCCCTTCTGTTACATGCATGTACACTGAAAACTGAAAGACATCTCTGCCCAAAGTTACACAGAAAAACAAGAATCCAGGGCTCCTACCTTGCAGGGTAATTCAGGCTGTACTAGAATTGCAAAAACGGGTTGCAGTTGCAGCAAGTTAGAATTTAAAGTGTGGTATCCAAAAGAAGTTCCTGGAGGTTATTGTCATGGAGCTATCACTAGCATGTTACACACATAGACTTTTTGACCTCTTCTTAGTAAACCGTTCATTTTATCCAAGTCACTGTTTGGGCCAGACACAGTTGGCTGAAGTCTAAAGCTTTGATATGACCCCAAGCACTGGAGGCACACACACAGAAGCTCAATAGCCCTTTGCCTGGGATTCCTGAATTAAATGGGGGCGTGGCTTGGATAACCTATCAAGTTTCTCCCACATCTGGTAGTCCAGGCATCAGTGATTCTACAGTGTCTCATCACTTCATTACCCATGGGTCTTCATTTGTGCTGTATCTTGGATATGCCTTCCCTACCAGCCAGCTTGTCTGCCAGCTAATTGAAGTTATCATGATTCTGTAAGATCTGCAAACGACTATGCTACCTGCTAGAAGCTTACCCCGAATACCACCAGACCGAAATCCAGTTTCACTCCCACTTGAGATAGTCAGTTGAGAGGGATAATTTTTATTTCCTGGTTGTTACAGATAAAACTGTGACTACTTCTGACAAAATTTTAAGTTGGAGTCCAAATCCTTAATACTGCAAACTGTTACTGTATTTGTACGTAGGGTCCATAAGGGTGTAAGTAGGTTAAATTGAAACCATTTGAATGGACTTTATCCAATATATCCAATGGCCTTATGAAGAGGAAATTTGCAGAGACAGAGGGTGAAGACCATGTGGAAACTCCTCTATAAGCCCAGGAGAGGCTTCAGAAGAAATCAAAGTTAAATTTGAACTCAAACTTCTGGCTTCCAAGATTATGAGAAAGTTAAATACTGATAAGCCACTCAATCTGTGGTTCTTTGGTTATGGCAGCCCTAGCAAATGAATGTGCTGGATGCCTGTGTGTTTTTCTATCCACTCATTTAACTGGAATTATAAAGTTTTTAATCTTCAATTTTTTAAAGAAATAACAATGAGTTCCTTACTTTGGTATTTTCTACAACACTGACTGGCACAAAAGATGTACAACTGGTTGTTTTTATTTTATTTTATTTTGTGTGTGTGTGCATGTGTGTAGCTGAGTGAAATTGGGGGTGGAGAGGAACACCTCAAATCCATGACTCTGGATAGTGCATGAAATACAGTAGGAGAAAAAATGATAAAATTGAAAGTACAAAGCTGGCTGAATATGGTAGCACACACCTGTATTCCTAGAACTTGGGAAGAAGAAACAGAATTGCCACAAGTCTGAGACTAGCCCAGTCTATACAGCTATAATCCAGCTAGGGCTACATAATAAGATCCTATTTTAGTGAAAAAATTAGCAAACAAATACGTGCAAAACTGCTAAACTATTATAATACTAGTATTAGTGAAAAGAAGCTAACAATTATACTGCAACCTGTGCTTTGTTTATAACACAATATTTTGGGCTAGAGAGATGGCTCAGCCATTAAAGGATAGGCTCACAACCAAAAAGATAAAACATTTTTCATCCTCCTTCTGGCCATTCTCTCTCTCTCCATTGGTGAGATCCCACATCCTTCCCCACCAGGGACCTTCTTGATCACCCATATGGCAGGGAGACATAAGTGAGCTACCTTCACTCCCACCCCTGACAGTCACCCCAGCTTCTTGCCAGGGAACCTGACTTCCCTTTGGGACTCATTAGATCCCAGACTCCTCCACAACTGGGACCCTTTAGTCTACCGACATCGTATAGAGAAACAGATACGCTACCTGCACATCCCAGCATAGACTTCCACCATCCTAATCACCCCACAGCTGCTAACCAGGGACTGTGACCTCCTCCTAGCCCCTTTTCCTCCCTTTGCGCCATACCACCCACCCAATCTTGTCTGATCTCGGAAGCTAAGCAGGGTCAGGCCTGGTTAGTACTTGGATGGGACTTGAAAGTTCTTAACCTGCTTCCCACAAGGGATTCTTCAACTAACACATATGGTGCAAAGACCCAGGCCACCCTCCCTTTCAGTCTTACCAGAATCCTGGCAGCTATCTATCTGTCTGTGACCCCACCTCCCGCTATTCTGTTTGGCCCTGAGAGCCAAGAACAGTCCATACTATCAGGAGAAACTTATTCTAAGCTCTGCTATAACCACTAGACTGTACATAGCAAGAAGAAGACCTGAGATAAAATCCATAGCCCCAAATACCAGACAGAGGAAAGCCCCTGCAATGACTTAGCTCCCTTATGTATATTGTAAACACTCCTGCTGAAAGAAGAAAGGTGACTTGAACAAAAGCAAGCCAGTCTCAACTAAGAAACTAACTCCAGATGTGCAAATCCCAATGGAGAAATCAAAACAAGCACAAGAACAACACACACAAACACACATGTGCACGTGTGACACACACACACAAGCATTTGCACACCCACAAATACCTTGTCTCCTCCCCCAAAACACAAACTCGATCTTAAAAGCTCCTATTGAAAATGACCACAAAGACTTTTCAAATAATTGAATGTTTATAATAGATGGTCAAACAACTCAAAAAATACAAAGACAAAGAAATAAATAAAAAAGGAAGTCAATCTAAGACAAGAAAAAGAATCATTTTTCAAAGAAAACTTAAACAGAAATGATGCTAGAAATGAAATACTCAATATGCCAGTCAAAAACCTCAGTGGAAAAACCTCATCAGCAGAGTGGATCGTGTCAAAAACAGAAAGTCATTAATGGAAAACAAAGTAGAGGAATTAGATCACTCAGTAAAGATCAAAGAGAAGGTTTAAAAAACTATAAACAAAACATGGGAAAATTTTGGGATATCATGAAAAGACCTAACTTCCAAATTATGGTCATATGAGAAGGAAAAGAAAACCATAGCAAAAGCATAGAGAATATCTCCAGTGAAACCATCCAACATAGTTTCCCAAACCTAGAGAGTGAGATAACCAACATAGTCAGGCATGCTAAATTTACAGAGCAAAAAGTAGGTAAGATCAGAAAAAAATTCTCCACAATATATTATAGATAAAACACTAAAAACACAGAATAAAGTAAGGGTGTTGAAAGCTGCAAGATTGAAAGGGAAAATAATTTACAAAGACAGGTCTATTACAATAAAACCAGATTCCTCAACAGAAACCTTCAAGTTCAGAGGATCCTAGAGAGATACATTCCAATTCCTGAAAGACCACAACTGTCAGGATACATTATATACCCAACGAAATTGTCTATCAAAATTGAAAGAGAAAATAATATGACAAAAACAGATTAAAGGATTTTATGATTACTAAGCTGTCTCTAGAGATGAGTACTTCAACTGGAAGAGAAGTGTAAATACAACAAAGGGCTCACAAGGAAAAAAATCAACAGTATCAGAACAGGTAATCAAAAGAGGTCCAAGAACCTCCCCTGGAATTTCAATAATATGAATAAACACACATTTTCACTAATAATAATATTAATATTCCAGTTCCCTTAATGAAAAGACCATGATTAACAGATTGCATTAGAAAGCAAAATCAATGTTTTTACTGCCTCCAAGAAGTAGACCTCACCATCAATGCTCTCCTACCACTTTAAAGTAGAAGGATACAAGTGGAACTTAGAAACAAACAAACAAGTGTAACTATTCTAATAACTGAAAAAATTCAAAGAAAAACAGGTCACAAGAGATAAGGAGGAGTATTTCATATTCATTAGAAGAAAAATTCATCAACAATATATTATAATCCTAAATACATATGCACCAAACAGAGGGCCACTGAATTTCATAAAATAAACAGTTATGTCTAAAACTCCAAGTTGACTCCAATAAAGTGATAGTGTATTATTTCTATACTCAACTCTTACCAATAGAAAGCTCTTGGTTACTTTCCAGAATATGACAACAAAACTCAATTGCTAAAGACACCGTGTACTTAAGTCACAGAACATAGAGCTGTCAAGCTGTTACTGACCTGAATGCTTCATCCCACTGGCTGGCTAGCTTTTATAATGCTATTCATGCTACTACAAGAGCAAAGTA